TCCACCTCTCTCTCACTCTCACTTTCCCTGTCTCTCTCCCCGAGCAAGAACCCTAGGCTGTGGTGGCGGCGGCGATTTCGGCGGTGGTGACGGCGACGATCCTGACAGCGGCACAGCAAGCCAAGGAGACGGCGCAAGGGGGCCAGTCGAAGGAAAGCAATGGAGTAGCATGCGCGTCAATGGCGGACGCGTCTCTGCGCGGGTCGCCGATGGTGGACGGTGACGAAAGGTACTTTTTCTCTCCTTGCTGAGCACAGAGATGAGTAGATTAGGCCTCGATTTATGCATTGTCGCTGGAGATGTGCACATTTTGATGTGATTTGGTTGATGCTAGGGTTCCACTATTTTCCCTAGAGATTAAAGTGGAAGCATTCTGTACGATAGACTCTTTGGGTAGGAAAGCTTACACAAAGGGCTCTGTGATTAAGTGGGATGTGGAGATAGGCTCGTTTCCATTTGAGTTACTGATGACCATCTTGCGCAATGCTGTCAAATGGTCTCGTACTCAGTGCCCAACTGCTTGGTACTATGACAAAAGGGTGTGTGAAGATGTCAGACTAGAAAACCAGTTCCAGATGAATGACATATTTGAGATATATAAGGACCAGATGCGTTGCCAGATTGTTGTAGGAGTGTTTGATCAATCTGTTGCCTCTATTGATCAGTTTGATGCATTAGAACCTTTATGTGTGATTCCTCCCGACATTGGCAATGCAATCCCTACTGACAGTAATGTTAACCAGCCATCATCTAAGGCAGATGATGCACCAAAGGTTCCCATGGAGGCTGAAGTTGAGCCTGAAGTTGAGCCTGACAGGGAGCCCGATATGTTTGATAATGATGAAGAGTATGTGGGTTATGATGATGAGGGAATGTATATGCCAATACCACCACCACAGCCACATAGCAGTTCACAACCTCATAGTAATTCACCTCCACATGTTTCTCATGATGCTGTTAATGATGATGCTCATGCTTTTCCTACTGAGACAGAGGTCAATGATGCAGACCCTGAAGAGATCCATGTGATCCATGACCCAGAGCACCCCAAGATTGAGAAGGGGGAGTTATTTCCTGATATTGTTTCATTCAGGAAAGCTATCAGGCATTATGCTGTGACTAAAGGCTTTGAGTTAGCTGGTATCAAAACAGACCCAACAAGGTATATTGCAAGGTGCAAGGCTGAGCGATGTCCTTGGCGCATACATGCATCTAGGCTACATGATAAAAAGACAATACAGGTAACTCACCATGCACTAGTTCATTTGTGCATTTCTATTTGCTTGACCTGACTTGTTTTCTATGTACATTTCTATTTGCTTGACTTGACTTGTTTTCTATGTGCAGATCAAAGTACTTCCATCAGATCACGACTGTCCAACTACAAAACTGGTAGTAGGAAAGGTGGCATCACAGGATTGGTGTGCAGACAGGTTGGGAGATTGGCTCAAGAAAAATCCAACAAAACGTGCAAAGGATTGCAAGGAGAAGTTGGAAGATGATTATGGCATCAAGCTGAAGTATTCAAAGGCTTGGTCAGGTATGAAGTTAGCAATAGATCAAATCCATGGTAGATATGAGGAAAGTTTTCAGTTGCTATTCAATTGGGTTGTTCAGATTGAACAGGTCTCTCCTGGTAGCCTAATAGAGATAGAGCTTGATAAGATTGGTAAAAAGCAAAGATTTAGGAGAATGTTTGTTGCTCTTAAGCCTTGTGTGGATGGTTTTCTGGCTAGATGCAGACCATTTGCGGGTATAGATGCATCTAGTCTGCATGGTAAGTATAGAGGTCAGCTAGCTTCAGCAACCAGTGTAGATGGACATAACTGGTTGTATCCTATAGCTTATGGCATTTTTGACTCAGAAACTGAAGATAATTGGAAGTGGTTCTTGCAACAACTTTCCAGAGCAATTGGTGATGTACCAAATCTTGTAATTTGTTCAGATGCATGCAAAGGCCTAGAGAAAGCAGTGGGTGCAGTGTTTCCAAATGCTGAGAATAGGGAATGCATGAGACATTTGTACCAAAACTTTTTGAAGCACTATTCTGGTGATGTAATCACAGAGCACCTATATCCTGCTGCTAGAAGCTACACTGAAGGCCTATTCAAGTTCCACATGCACAAGATTGCTGAGTATGCTCCTCAAAGTATAGAGTATCTTCAGACTCACCACAGCAGGATATGGTATAGGTGTGGGTTCTCAGAAAATAGCAAGTGTGATTATTTGACCAACAATGTGTCAGAAAGCTTCAATGCACAGGTGAAGCACCTCAAAGGTTTATTTGTACATGAGCTGGTAGATAGAATTAGAGAGCTAATAATGGAGAAGAGATATTTGAGGAAGAAGATTGCTAGGCAGTGGGAGGATGGAATCCTACCAGGTGTGATAAAGGATCTTAACCTGATCAGCAATCATCTCAAAGTGGTCAAGGTCAAAGTCAGTGACGATGACATTGCTGAAGTGACTCTCTTGGATGACTGGAACAATCAGAAGAGGCACACTGTGGACCTACATAATCGTAATTGTTCTTGCAGGGAATGGCAGGTGACTGGAAAGCCCTGCAAGCATGCTTTGGCCTGGATACTTTCAAACAGAGGGATAAGGATTCAGGATTATGTACACGACTACTATTCTATTGCTAGATTTAAGGCAGCCTACCAAGACAGGGTTGAGCCTATCCCAGACAGGTCACAGTGGCCTATTGTCGACCTTGGCTTCAAAGTGTACCCTTCATTACTGGGCAAAGGTGCAGGCAGACCAAGGGTTGTCAGAATTAGAAGGAGTTTGGAGAAGAGGGCCACTCAAAAGAAGGTCAGGTGCAAGAGATGTGGTGGTTTTGGGAACTTTTCCAAGACCTGCAAGTTCCCCGAACTAGGGGAGGATGGAGAAATAGGACAAGGGTCTTCAAAAAGGTATTCAAACTACTTGTGTGTTGCCATTTTGCTCCAAATTATCTTTTCCTATTACCAATCTACTCCTGTGATTCTACTGCAGGAAGAGGACAACTAAAGATGTCGCTGGACCTTCCCAGGTGAAGAAGTAGAAGACTCAGAAGAAGACTAATCCTAAGAAGAAGAAGAAGACACCTATCAAAAAAAAGCTACAGAAGGCAATAGCTGCACCACCAACAACTGTTGTTAGCATCATCAGGCAGCTGGTCTTTGTCGCTCCACAAGCAAGTGGTACTAAGTAGCCACAATCTGCAATGCTTGATGGACAGCATGGGACATCTTTTGTGAACTCTATAGCCATCTTATGATCATTCTGTAATGATTATGAACTACTAATATGTAATGTGGCACTTCTGTTGCTTAGCTAGTAAACTCTACTATGTATTGAGGCATTTGAACTTGCCAACTTTCTAAGTTGCTGCTGTTACTGTACTGCGTATGGATATTTAGTGCCAACATGGTTATGAAATGATGTTTGAACTCTATTGTATTTTCACTACTATCATGTGGCTGTGGTCTGTGTGCTTTGATCTACTTTACTCTGAATGTTGCTAGCCCTTGTTCTCCTCATCCAAAATCAAGATAAGATGCTGCTGAAATTCTTACATAATTTCATAAAAAACATAGCACAATGCTGATCAATTTCATTACAGTCACTTCATCATCTGGGCAACAACTACACCTACCAGTACACCAACAAGGACACCTACTACAACAGATACATCTAACACAATCTGCATTTTCTTATTACCCATGTCCTATGTTGCATTACTAACTGGACTAGGAACAACAGAATGCATGTCTCCAATTTGTGCTTTCAGTTTCGAAATGTCTTGAACAACAATGTCCAGTGTTTGCCTCATCTCACGGAGCTGTTGCTTGAAATCACCAATACCATCCCCAATTTGATGACGAAGGGGCAACTGGACCTGCATCTACTGCTCCTTTTGTTGATTCAGAAACCAGGCCTCGTACTGCTCCTCCGAACGGATCCAGCCACAAGTTGTTGGATCACCCTGCGCACCCTAAATTAGTCAAATAGAAACCAAACAATGGAGATTCAATTAACACAACAAAGCCTACCTTTATGTTGTTCGGGCACTTGACAAATGGGACATCCTTCGAGCGCTCTTGCTTGCTCACGATTCTGATTAGAGGAACATGGCATTCGGGACAGTCCAGTAGGGGGTACTGCATCCTTCGAGTGCCAGCAGCGGTGGAGCTCGAGCTCATCCTTGCCTGCGGTCGAGTCACCCCCTTGCGCCGTCGCCTTGGCCTGCTACATCGCCGTCGGGTGGTCGCCGCCGCCGCCGGGAGCGCACCCTAGGGTTCTTGGCCGAGGAAAGAGACAAGGAGCACGAGAGAGAGTGGGGGGTTGAGACGGCGATGTTCACAGCGCCGTTTACATGAAGACGGCCGACGGACGAATACGGTCCGCCGTATGCCACGCGGATCTGCAAGCGGGCCCAAGTGTTCGTCGGGCGTACACAATGGCAGATTTCGAAGTATCGCAAAATTATAATGGCACGCTTGCGATTAGACGAATTGTAATGGTATATTTTCAATCTTCAAGAATTGTAATAGCACCTTTCCAAAAAAAAAAAACCCTTTAGTCTATAGATAGAGTGATGGTATACTAGACTTGTGTGTTGGTATACTAACGCGTCTTGCTCTCGTGCACTTGGAACAGTTGGTCACCTCTAAGCCCTTTTGGTAAATACGTGTGATGCGGTGGACTTCCGGAGCGTGAAAGACGGAAAAGTATTCAGAGAGATTCCAGAAGAAACGACCATGTTGGTATACTAACGCGTCTTGCTCTCTTGCACTTGGAACAGTTGGTCACCTCTAAGCCCTTTTGGTCAAAATACGTGTGATGCGGTGGACTTCCGGAGCGTGAAAGACGGAAAAGTATTCAGAGAGATTCCAGAAGAAACGACCAAGTGCTAGGACACATCTGGTTAGTAGTGAGTAGTAGTTAGCACGTCCTTGTCATAAAGAGAGGGGAGAAGTTGTTGCCTGCCCATTCTTCAATCCTATGTGCAATCGATGGAATCTGCCATAGCTGCGGTTGCAGGTGAACTCGTCAGCCGATTCATCTCCTTCGCCTTTAACAGATACTGCTCCAGCTCCAGCTCCAGCTCCAGCTATGAAGATGAAGGATTGGAGGAGAGGCGGGAGAGGCTGCGGCATCTCTTGACGAGGGTTCACACCGTCATTGAGGAGGCAGATGCGCGATACATCAGCAACTCTGGTATGCTGATGCAGCTCAAGATGCTGTCGGAGGCCATGTACCAGGGCTACCATGCGCTGGATACCTTGACATTCCAGCTCCAGCACGAGGTTAGCGACTCATCAATCTCCTTGTGTTCTGCCACTCGTCTCAAACGTCCCCGCACAGTTCTTGCTTCGGCGAAAAAGGACAAGGTACACGCCGCATTGGAGAATCTGGAAACAGCTGTGGCGAACATATCAGAGTTCGTTGTGCTTCTGTGTGGGTGTGATGAGCGCTTGTCCTGTAGGCCCTACGATGCATATCTTTACATCGGCAATTTCATGTTTGGTCGACATGCAGAAAAGCAAAAGCTCCTCAACTTCTTACTGCAGCCTAACCCATCAGATGACCGTGCACCACCTCCTGTTCTGCCAATCATCGGCGCTCTTGCAGTTGGGAAGAAGACTTTGGTCGCCCATGTATGTGCTGACGAGAGGGTACGCTCCAAATTCGCTTCCATTCTGCATCTGAACGGAGACAACTTCCTGACCATCGTCGACCACGAAAAGGCCCTGGTGGGGATGTCGTCACTTGTAGTAGTTGAGTTGGTTTCAGATGTTGATGACGTGAAATGGAATGAGTTTTATTCATTTGTGACAAGAGCAACTAGTACAAGAAGCAAGGTGATCATCATAAGCAAGCTTGGAAGATTAGCAAGGTTTGGGTCAGTAAGACCAATTTTTCTTGATGGTCTGTCATACGAGGAGTTTTGGTACCTCTTCAAGAACCTAGCATTTGGAAGTGCGGACCCGGCAGAGCATCCAAGACTAGTACATATAGCAGAAGGATTTGCCGAGGAATTGCATCAGAGTGGATCACTTGTTACAGCAAATGCATTGGCTGACGTGTTGAGAAGCAACCTGAATGCTCAATTCTGGCTTTCGATATTGAACAAGTGCAGAAAAGTGATTGAGAAGAATCTCATCGCTTATGGGCAGCTCCCAAATCTACTTTTTGAGCAAGGCCGTGAGGTGGACCTGACGGACTTCGTTTCGAGTCCTGTTATTAATCCCCTTCGCGTCTTACCTTGTACTAGTAGCGCTCTAGCCAAAACAGAATTACCAAAGGCAGCGTTTGGAGAACTACTGCTAGATCCTTCTGTTAGGCCCAAAGGAGAATTTCGTCTATTGACATGGGAATCCAGGTTACCCCCTCATACTTCATTTATTCACTTCGTCCCAAATTGCACTCAAGATATGCCTCAAGGACATAGTTTATCAGGGAGGAAGCGCCATACAGTGCCTTTCTGATGACATGAACTCTATCCAATGTAATCATAGAAGTTAAATGTACTAATTTCAGATCTGTGCAGATATTTTGTTAAACAGTGATTTTATTGCAAACTACTGGTGAAATGTGATGACATGATACTAGCCCCTCCACAACCTCTTCAAAATAGTTACAATGTGCATGCAGTAGTAATTGCATTTCCAACAGCTAGGAGTGCTAGCTATTTGTTTACTTTTCAAAGAGACAGATATAGTTCTGTGTAAAATTAACCAACTCTACCCTCTCCACTTTTAAGCCTTGAACACTACCATTTGCTTGGCCAAACAACAATTTTCTTTTGCTAAGGAAAGTGTGTTGCACTTGTGAGAACACAAGACTGGGAGGATACCCATCGTGAGTTTCTATTCATTGCACAAGTGTATATAGGTTACAAAGTACATGACTAAGCTTGCAGATATTTTCATATTCTAATACCCTCCTGCCGTGTCAACCAGGAGAGAAACGAACGTTGAGTCTGGACCAAAAGTTGGTAAATACAGCAGTCGGCAGTCCTTTAGTGAATATATCTGCATATTGAAGAGACGTAGGAACATGAAGAATCCAGACAACACCAAGGGCCATGCGCTCCCGAACAAAATATAGATCAATCTCTACATGTTTGGTCCTTTGGTGATGAACAGGGTTTGTGGATGAATACATGGCACTGATGTTGTCACAATAGATAAGAGTGACATCATGTGTTAAGGTGCGAAGAAGTTCTCCCAAAAGTTGGCGAATCCAGCAAGCCTCAGCCATAGCATTTGCAACTCCCGTATATTTTGCTTCAGCACTCGATCGTGAGACTATGTGTTGGCGCTTGGAAGACCAAGATATAAGATTATCGCCAAGAAACACACAATACCTAGAAGTAGAGCAACAAGTGCCCGGGCAACCAGCCCAATCGGCATCTGAGTAGTCTACCAAGTCAGGTGACCGACTGCGGGGAGAGAGAGAGAGAGACCATACTCCATGGTGCTTTTGATATACCGCATAATCCGTTTGATGAGAGCAAAGTGGGACTCAAAAGGGTCATGCATATGCAAGCAAACTTTTTGAACTGCATGAGCAATATCTGAGCATGTGAGATTCAAGTATTGCAAGGCACCTACGAGACTGTGATATAGAGTAGGATGAGCAACTGGTGGTCCATCTTGGGCATACAGCTTGGAATGGACTCAAGTGTAGTTGTCAATGGATTGCATGATGACATGTTGGCTTTGTCCAAGATTTCAGCTGCATATTTGGCTTGAGAGAGGAAGGATGAACATTGTGCAGAAACTCCCAAGAAGTAATGGATATCACCAAGGTTAGTCATGGCAAATTCTTGCCGCAGGGAGCCAATAATGCATTGAAGAAGAGGCTACGATGAAGCAGTTAGTATGATGTCATCCTCATATAAGACAAGGTAGGCCACATCCATCCCATGAGTGAAGATGAAGAGCGAGGTGTCACATTGAGAAGTTCGGAATCCAATGGATGTGATGAACACCTGGAAGCGGCTATACCAAGCCTGTGGGGCCTGCTTGAGGCCATAGAGAGCTTTGTTGAGCTTGCACACATGACGAGGACGAACCAGATCAACAAAGCCAGGGGGTTACTGGCAGTAAACTGTGACAGTACCGCCTAATCTAATGTCCTCCCAAGAGTACTTGTCTTCCATTAGACACTAAGTACCCAAGAGAGTGCACTAAATCGTGCCGTTCGATCAAGCACACCCCAAGGGAGAACTCGAAAGTCCTTATTCTTCCATCAGGATCATAAATGAGAGAATAAAGCTTATAATATTTTTAACCATTTCTTACATCAGTTTATTACAACATTAGAATACTTAAACAAGTTGAATGCAATAGCAGAGTTAAGATAGTTTTACTTGTAAAAGAGTTTATACATTTTAGGTTCACATTTTTATCTTGCAGCGGAGAACAACATATGATCAGAGGTACAACGGAAATAAAGGTTAATGGTGAATCATTAACATAGTGAACATTTATAAACCAGATATGATGACAGATCATAAAACTTTTCTTCTGAAAACTTTTAGTGAGGGTTATAAATAAATACTACGGTCGTAGCGTGAAAGGAATCCTCTCTGAGCCCACCAGGAGGTTTCCACACACAAGAGTCAGATCTATATATCCTCCGGTCACCTGCAACAGGGGGAATAAAACCTTAAGTACTCGATTGTATTCAACAAGACTTAGCCGACAGGAGGAAAATAAAAGACTCCAAGGATATACAAGGCTATCTAGCTTGTGGGTTATTGCATCTGCAGGAAGTATTACTAAATGTGCGTCCTTGTATTTAATTTTATTAGCAGTCATCATTAGTTCATTAACTAACCATTCTATGTAAGCACTTATTCTACTTTCAAGCATGTGGTAAGCAATCAGAACTATTTTATCATCTTTCATATTTTAGTTCTTACTACGGTGCTAGATCATTGCCAAGTCGTACCGTCTTGTAGAAACGACGATTCGCGAATCAATGTATCCTAGCTGGGTACCCCGAAACATACGCCTCGCTTGTACCCCAGGCACAAACAAGACTAAACCATTCCACTTCTGTCAAGGGGTCCAGGTCCCGTCCAAACTTGGACTCCAAGCCCCAATACCTGAGACCTGGTATCAGTATGGTGCTTAGACCTCCACCTAATACCCACCCCTAAAAGTCGGTCTAGAAAGAGGCAGAACCCATGACAAGAGAGTAACAAGTCTTCCCGCTCCCATAAGCAAGTATGTGCTCAGGATAATAAGTCTGTGACCTGACTACCATCCACAGCAACGGACGGTCCTCAATCGACATAGGCGGAATGAGTGCAACCAGAGCCTCGCTCGATTGCCTAACCCAATCCAATTTCAAATCTAAAGTACAGTTCCGGCCAGTCCTCAATTATTATCCATTCATATTCCATGTGATGATAATAGTAACAATAATATCTTTTCCTATCTCTCGCGAGTGACAGGTAATCACTCGACTTCTACCGAAATCCTATAGCATAGCAATCTACATGATCATGTCATACTAGTAGGACTCATAGGATAAGGATATATTTATGCAAGTGGATTTCATTCAACTCCTTTAAACTTAATGCACAAGCACAAACTAAAGTGCAGAATAATAGGGGTTATGCACCGGGGCTTGCCTGGGTAAGATATAACCAAAAGTTAGCATTCCATCATGGTGACATGATCATCAAGGCACCATTTTTCCGCTACTCTGATCATCTCCACGATCCATCGTTGTTCCTATTATGACATATGTGGATGCAACGCAGAGACGCAATTAATCAACGGTAACTGCAACTCTTAAAATACAATTACGCCTCTCAAGCTACGAGCTAGCTCTAATGACTAACATACTAGGCTACGTATCTACGTTGTTGCATAAGGCGTTGTTTTCTAATAAGTGTTTTAGTTCTACAATCCCAAGGTGTTTCTTTACTTCATTTCATTGATTTAATATATATATATTCAAACTAGGGCTCATTAGCTATCTTAGCAAACTAATTATTATAGAGCTACCAAAATTACAGTGAGCACCTAATAATATTAGGAATTTACTATGAAATTTTTAGAGCCAACACTATCACCAGTTTATTACAAAATTCCTACAAGTTTATATCTTAACAATATTAAGCATCTCAATTTAATTAGATAATATACTAGCAGATAGATCATGATTTTAGGAACCTAAAAAAATTAGTTTCACCATTTTTAGTCAACTACACAAATTTATATGGAATTTACAAGTTTGCTTTAGAAACTAAATTAGAAAACGCTTTAGGAAAAAGGAAAAGGCCGGTGGCAACTAATCCGGCCCAGCGGCCTACGAAGCCCACGCGGGGCGTGGTCATGCTCGGCTGGTTGGCCCAGCAATGGCCCAAGGCAGGAGAGCCCCACGCGCGCTGCGCTTTTGCAAAAGAGGACTCGCACAATTAGACAATCAAGCGACACAGTGAATCACTATTTCATTAGACTCAAGCTCTGCACAAAACACCCTGAAAAGTGTTGTCTTCGCAACGGGCGGCTCCCCGGCGTGGCCGCGCGTGACGGCGTGGCACACCGGCGACAACTATGGATACGCCGGCCATCGGCAAGGGTCTCCGGTGACCTACGGCGGCCGAGCATCTAAGTTTTGGCAGCGTGCTTCTAGAGGCGGTGATTAGGTACCGAGAGAGGCACTGCAGCATAGCCGACCACGGTGGCGGCTGGGACAATGCATTTTGTGACAATGGTGAGGCTGTACCAGTGACCTAGAGCCCTAACGGAGGTAACACAGTGGCGGAAAAGCAGTCGGAGCTCACTGAGGTGCATGCAGTGGTGATGGTTGAAACAGAGAAGGGCTGAGGTGGTCTGGCCACGTGCGAGTTGGCGGGGCAGCGATGCTCCGAGGCGGACACCAGTGCGTCACCTCATCACCGATGAAGCTTCTAACCAAAAGAAGGCGAGCACCGGCACGAGGGGGTCAAGGAGAGCTCGAAACACCCATCAATTGATCTGCTACTAGTGACAAGAGGCACACCCTCAACACGAGTACGGCATGGCGGTGAAACTGATCGGCGATGAGCAAAAACTCGAATCTGGCCGGCAACAAGGCTTGCCTACGCCTTGGTGAGGGTCGGGCTGCTAGCTAGCTTCTATTCCTAGCTACTGGAGCATTGAATCGAGATGAGATTCACGGACAGCGGGCATTTAACTTGTGAAGCGGCACGGTTCCGTCGGCGGTAAAGGGAAGACAGGGCAGTGACCCTTCAAGGCTCGGCCAACTTCGGCTGAGGCTGCGTTAATGAAATGAGGGCGTCCACATGGGTGAGGCTCAGAGAGAGCAGATCGTGGAGTGCCGGGATGGGATGGCTCGGCCTTGGTGGGACGCGGACGGTGGTAGTGAAACAGTGATCGCGTGCAAGGCTGTCGCGTGGGGCCGGTGCAATGAAATGGCGCGCGGGGAGGGCAGCGACACGGCGACTGCTCCACGTACGTGA